GTGTCTTTACAAAAAAAGGATATACACAGAAAACTAGTTTCCATCCCAAACGCATCTTATATACCATCATAAGAACTGATGAAAGCTGCAGAAGTTCAGTCAAACAGTCACTGCTTTGCCTAATTCGTGGAAAAGTGTTAACTCTATCAGTAACATCGAATATGCCAACATACAACGAGTATCAAAGGCAGCTCGTATACTGTCTGATAGTTTGCTCCAACTCAGTTTGCTCCAACCAGGTGGCATGCAAAGATTGACTATTTATACTGCACACAATTCGCTTTTGCGTTGGTGTTTCGTGCCAGACATGTGCCAGGCCGTGCAACGTATTAGCAGCATCGGGCGTTCGCTTGTAAATTCAAAGTTGGGGTTAGCTTGGCAGCTGCTAGCGAAATGCGGAGGGCGCTGAAACAAGTCACTTGTGCATGTTGTGACACAATGCATGAACGGCGTTATAAAGATACCAGACTTGAAAATTCGCTTGTCGCTTTAAGGGGGCACAGTTGAGGGCTAAGAGGAGAGACGGTGTCATGTTAAGTAAGGAAATTTTACCGGCGAAAGGTCTTCCAATGGGAGCGACGTGTTAGGTTAAGTAAGGAAACAAATCACGCACGCACGCACGCACGCACACACACACACACACACACACACACACACCACACACACACCACACACACACACACACACACACACACACACACACACACACACACACACCACACACACACACACACACACACAACACACACACACACACACACACACACGCACACACACACACACACAACACGCACACACACACACGCACGCACGCACGCGCGTAAGCGTTTCAAGATCATTTGTTCCTGATATCCCTTACGACGTCAGTCGTATAATCGACGCTATTTTGACAATTTTGCCAACTCATTTTATTTATGCTGTGGTTTGCTTGCCAGTGTTAACACTTTTTGCGCGTAATACTATTTATAAATGACTCTTGTCACTCATAACATTTAGCCACACCCCCATCGTAACGCTATTGTCATGTCTTTCTTGGAAACTACATAAAATTAAGTTTGTTCCTTGCTCTGTAGAGAGCGTCAGTGTAGCCAGTTTTGTGATAGGCAATGGAAAATAAAAGGCTGCATAACTCAGTGTGAACAGCGGAGTTAGTTGAATGCTTGTAACAAATGATCATTCTGCAAGCGTCCAGGCAATGCGCGACTGATTAAACGACTTGGCTCCATCATTAGAGTGCGAGTTGCGCAGGGTACATGCAAAAAGTTCGCAACTTGCCTGGCAGTTGGCGCAAAACTGGCAAGAAGCTGGTGCGTCTAACACCGGCGCTCGATTCTTTTCGCCATAAATGAGCATCTTGTTACTGGGCGTCTCGACTTCGCCACAGACTCGTCTTCCAAGCAGCATATCGCATTTAAAGTATGCGTGTGAGATATTGCACTCATGATTCGGTATAGCTAGACCTATCGTAGAAATGAAAATTGAGGATGCATTTCGGATGCATTTCATGAAACACTACTTTTTGGGCCATTCTTTCTTCCCTTTCTTGGATCAGTCAACGCTCTCGTGCTCCGTTATCTGGCTCAGTGTTACGGAACCTGATCAATATGGGGTGTTTTTTAAAGAATGTAGCTATTTATAATCTAGAAACTATAGCCGTTGGAAGCGGGCTCCCTCGGGAATCGGCTGCGCGGCTGAGTACGGCACGACTGCATGCGAGATCATCTTTGGTTGAAGTTACATGTGCCCGAATCATGCCTATATCTACTTGAAAGTGTTAACGTAATCAACATGTCTAAGGTGTCAATGGCATCTTTTTCTGCGTAAGTGCGCATTATAAAAATACCATCCCACTGTATTTTACTACTTTCAGTGGTCAACTACTTTCGGGGGACGTTTATTGAATTTAGAACTCTCAGGAAAGTACATGCAAGTCCATCGTATATGCTGACTGTGAAGCGGCACCTGGCAAAAAGAAAGCGATTTACGCATGCGTCAGCCCTCTTGGGTGAACACTTAACACAAGGTTTTCTTTAACACGTACAGGTAGACGCCTCGCGCACCCAGCCGGTTCAAGAACGCTGCACATATCTCGCACAATACGGCGTGAATATGTAATTAGTACAAGGAGGTAGCAGCCTTGTTCATTCACGCTTCTTGGCGCAATTTTTAAGAAGATGCGAGCACTGCAACGGCCAAGATGGTTCAAAGCGATTTACAGACTGCGCCACGCGTATGTCCTATGAAATTTTGCGCCGTCTGCTCAGTTTAGTGCAAACTTGTAATCGCTGCTGCCACTTGCTCGAAACCTCACGAGAGCTACGCGCAGCGCTTGTTTTATCCATCTAGAACAAATCTAGAATGAGGCAAACATAATAAGGCCTATACGCTGCTGCGAATGTTCTTACGCCGTTGTTACGCCATCATGTCGGACAATGTGCGCTTAGTGTTCCTGATTAAAAGCTCGTAAACAGGTCACGTGAAGTTGGCGTAATTTCAACGCAGCTTAGACCGTGTCTCATATTTCGAATGAGTAAGCGTACTTGCATGCTGTCCCTTATCTCTTTGCTCATTAGAACACCCAAACTTGCAAAAGAGCCGTGCAACTCTCTTTCAACGGGTGGAGGTGATGTGTTTTAAATCTTATTGAGCTTAAGACACCAAACTTCTGCGTGCAATCTTTTAGTAGAATGCGTTGCTGGACGAGTTGGTGCGTTGTCTTTTCGCAAAATTTTTTGTTTGTTTGTTTGATTGACATTCACTTAGCGGAGGAGCTCATCAAATGGCAGAGATTGGAAGCGCCTTATTTCGAGCCGTTTCAGTCAGAAATAATGGTGTCGTCCAATCAACAAAAACTATAAGCACGGAACGTTCTGACGTAAGCGTGAATGTTAGGGCTTAACGTGCGGTTCAGTTAGGCGTGCAGGCTGCTGTAAGGACACACATGATACAAGCTAAGCTAAGCATGATTAAGATCTTTGGACTTCCGTTTTCGTAGGTGGCCCTGACCATAAATTTTTCTGTGGTAGCAAACTTCACTGGATGATCTCTATCTTATTTCTTTTGGTTTATTTTGGTCATATAAAAACTTGAGATTGTCTGGCTCAGAGGAGCAGGTTCAGAACAACTCGCTCCTTGGCTGACTCCCCTAATTCGTTTCACCACTGTACCATGATTCATATATGCACGTCATGCCTCTTTCGGGCAGGTGAGGGTGGAATTCAGTCTGCACGTTTGTGGCTACATTTTCTGCCGGTGTCGAATCAATCAGCGGGGGCTCTAAAATGGTCTTGGTGTCTTTATCACCGCGGCTGTTTATAAAGGCACCATGTTTGTATACGCTACCCTATAATTGGTGCCTTGTTAAGTTGACACAACATTACGAAATTTGGCTACTCCTGTCACGTGGTACGGCTCAGCCTAGCGAATCGATAACCATAAGTTGTGCTTGTTTCGCGTTGAAGTAAACTGTTACTCGTAAACAGACCCGTACTCCAAACGACTAGATGACTGTGATAGTGGAATGACTAGGGAACAAAAATCACATGAAAATAAATCTCACATCACAGCAAACCCTATATCCCCCTTCTGTTTTTTAGACACTACAGATGAGTCCGTTATATTTGAGTAAAACTTCCCTTTATTTTTCCTAACTATACTGCGCGTAGGGACGTGGGATGTGTTTCACGAGTTGGCGAAACCCTTCCTTCCTTCTGTTCAGATACATTTAACGTTTACTGGAAAATCTTTCGTGAAATAGGCGATGGAATCTCTGCCAATGGCATTTATCGTATTGCAGCACTGGAAAAAGGTCCCAGTGATACCTCTAGTTTCTGTCTTCATTAAATCGCAGGTCTGTTCCTTGTCGTGGCACACTCTTGTTTTTGGAGTCTAGAACACACTGGGTGACAACAGCCCTGCGATCAATCATAACCTAAAATACTAAACTGAAGACAAAAAAAAACTGATATATAAGAGTAAGAAGGTAAATCAATCTGACTAGCCATTTCTTGTCGTAACTGCGCCTCTGCCAAAGCTCAAGAGGCAGTGGTCAAACATCAATGGGTTTCTTACCACTCTTGCCCTTTTGTATATTTCTTCCTTTGCAAGATGGAAGAGAAGAAGCTATTGTCGTTCAAAAAAAAAGAAAAAAAGGCTCGCTTTGTTAGAAATTGGTTCATCTCAGTATAAATTATTTTGACCATGAAACCATAGCAGAGGTGATATTCAAGACGTGAATATGTGAATGAAAAAGGGCAACATATCACAACCACGTACGAAGCACGTTAGTATGGTCTTGTCTCTGCCTTTAGTGTCTTTCCGCACATTTACGTTGGTTGACTAGTATTTACACAGAAATAAATTCGTGGAAAACCGAGAATATTTCATTTTGTCTGTCCTCGTAGATGCCTGAGAGCCGTTAGTGACCTTTGACAGGCAAATGAAGAGTCATGCTAACTCAGAAAGCACTCTCACAGAACGTAATATTCCGTCATTGCTTTCGGTTTGCTTGTTTGTGTTAATGATTTCTTTTTTGTTAAGTGGGTCATAGTCACAGGGGAGATCATCCTACGTATTTTCTTCAAGATAATCGAGTTTGTTCGTCGACAAGTAATCAGCGTAAAAACCACAATTGCCACAGGAACCAATGCTTTACAACAGAACTACGCCAGGGTTGCGTATAGATAACCCTGGCAGAGGACAGTTAAGCTCTGATTTAAGTTTGCGTCCGTTGCCTCAGGAGTTTCCGGGCAATATTTCCCACACCCAGCCCACTTTCGCATTGTCAGGACGGTGCTAGCAGCGTCAGCGTGTAACAGTGCCAAGAGCCGCACATCTCTTTCCGTCCCTCGCCTTCAGCGCAGCTTCAGCAAGACGGAGCGCAGCGCCGCGCCCTCGCGGCTGCGCCGATTGCTACGCAGTTCGTGGGGCAACGAAACAGAGGGAATGTCAAGCGCGCCGATAGCGCGCGCTTTGGTTCACGCTACGCGGAACTGCGGGGCTCAGAAGTTCGCCGACGAAGGCGTGCTGTCCATGTCCTCGAGCCACGAAGCCGGGCTGGGCGGGAACTCGCCGTATGTGTCGTCTCCGCGACCAGGAAACTGGTCACTGGGCAGGCCGAAGTGTGGCCCCAGCTGACCGCCGGGGCTGGCCGGGAAATAGGACGAGGCGCCGCTGTGGCCCGACTGCTGGCCCGGGGAGCCCTCAGGGTCGCTGCCGGTCAGTCCAAACGGCTCAGAGTCCTCTGGTGCGGCAACCAGCATGGGGAAGAGAAAACAGAGCGCAAGCGCCAGGAACGCCATGAAACAAAGTGGCCGAAGCCTGGCCTGTAAGCGCGTATGTAAGCACAGCTCAGAGATAGCAGTGAGAAGGGCTTGAGTTCGACGTCTTTTTTTTCTTTGCAAATGGTTACGCCCTGACAAGTTGTTGACTGTGTCACCTCCGTTAAGCTGCAAGGACGGTTTCAAGGATAGTTAGTGCTGTGCTCAGTTCACAAAAATTACGCCTCAATGTTTTCCAGTAATAGTGAATGTTTGGCTTCAGAGTGGACGCATCATATTGAGTAAGGTCGATACTTTGCTTCAGGAACTAAGTTCTGAAATAATTATGCTATAAACGGTTTAGTGCTGCTCTTTACTGTTTTTCTAAAGCAGTTTTCTATGAGTTTCTTCAACAGGAATCAAGACACGCTCTATTCACAAGACAAAAATCTGCCACAAAATTACAGAAATCCGAGAGACACTCTTTTGCATAGAACTATCACCACTTTTTCCTCTTATTTAATATGATTTGTAATGTGCACCGCCAGGCCGGATAGTTTTGGGTATTACTAAAATTAATAAAACCCAAAACCACGATATGATACTGAAAGACGTCGTAGTGAATGGCTCCAGATATTTAGGCAACCTCGTGCTCGTTAACGTCCACGATATGACATAAAGGGTGTTTTTTTTCTCTAGACATTACAGATTTAAAAAAAAAATTGACCACCATGCACCTGTAGTTTCTGTGCCTGAGTTATACATCGAGGCAGACATACTTTGCCTGTCTATTGTTACAATGAAATGACTAAATAATAAAACCTCTTCGTACACCTCTTATTCAACCAATTGAGGTAACGTGTATAATAGAAAAATGCAGGCCATCACAATTTATAACTTACCTGGAGTAAATAATATTGTGCATAATTTGAAATAGCCATCACCGACTTTCAATGGCGATATCGAAATCGAGCATGCCGGGCGCTCAGTAAATATGGCTGCTCTGATATTTCAGACTGGAGCTTCTTATAACGAAGAAATGACAATCTCTGAATGAGTGCGCGTCGTGGCAGCATCTTGTGGTGGAAAGCGTTAAGTCAATTCTCTCGCACCACTGGATCGCATTACCTTCGCGTATAACAGTTGGTGCTTGCCTATTTATTCCCTTCGCGCAGCGCACGAGAAAACCACGGTATTCATATTTTCTTTCAGTGCAGTTTCGAAACTCGGCGTCAGCCTTTGCTGCGACCCGCCAAGGTGGTCCATAGGTAATCGTTCTCAACTGGTCGCGGTATCGGATCCCGGTCCAGTCGGGCACATTTTCGGTGGAGACAAAAATGCTTGAGGGCCATGTGATTAGATTAAGGTGCACTTAATCCCGAAGTGGTCGCAGAGCCCTCCACTATGACATCTCTCATAATCACATCATAGTTTTCGGGGGCTAAATCCGATCATTTATTGTTAGCAATTGTAGCGCTTCTTATTGCAGACATGCGTAAGTGGGATTTGCGCTTATTCATAGTTCAAGAAAGAAACATCTTAGCATGACGCATCACACGCAAAAAGTAAGGGTCCCTCTTGTGTACTTCGGAGGTGTTGCTGTGTTTCTTGACTAGATTCTACACTCGGCGCGCCTCGATTCAAATTCCGTTATTGGCCCGTCACGGGTAGTTCCGGACTGACGCAAAGTATCATCTGCCTTTCCTGTACGCCTTACAATGTCTCGAAAGAAATAATTATACTGTAAACACATGACACATTCACACACACCCAGGCAACAAACACCTAACATTGCCAGCTTCCCTTACAGAGCTTTTAATTTGTTGAAAATTATGCGCAGCCTTTATGATTTACAATAAAAGGGATTCGCCACCGATTGTGATGGCCTACAACATTCTAATATAAACATGTGCTGTAAAATCGATAATTAGAAAGTTCATAGCCGGGTTCTCTTAGTTAGTCGTGTTCATTGTAGCTTCAGCTATACTGCAAAGCATTTCAGCCTCGAGGTAGATTGTGTGGGTGAAGACGACAGGTGCCTGAATGTCGGAACATTTTTATAAAAGAATCGTGCTGTATGAACGGAAAACTCCGAACATGTACACTCATAGAACAACAGACTTTATACATGCGCATACTAGCAATGCTACATATAGATTCTAGCCACCCTATTATAGATATTGTAAAGAGTACTTCCGGAAGAGTCTTGCACGGCTGTTCATCGTGCTTGTGTTTTATTACACGGTGTGCGCCTTTTCAAACTACTAAGATTTTGGCATGTCCTCGTGGTCTATTGATCAATAAATAAATAAATAAATAAATAAATCATGCCTCAATCATAAAGAGAACGTCATGCATACCTGGGTGATCTTTGACGTCTCGCTTGATGGTCGCACCGGAAGAGGAGCGGAAGAAGTCTCCCCAGCGGGTCTTTCCGGCGTCCTTCTTGAGGCGCTTCTCCTTTGCGCGCCGGTTCTGGAACCAAACCTGTACGACGCGCATGTCGAGCCCAGTGTCCTGCGACAGCTGTTCGCGCACGTGGCGGGCCGGCTTGGGGCTGTTGTTGTAGGCGCTCTTCAGCGTCTCCAGCTGCTTGGCAGTGATTGTGGTGCGCGGCCGCTTGCTGGAGCCCTCGCGCGCCTTGGCCGCCTCGTAGTCGGCCTTGCAGACCAGCTTGTTGTCCTCCATGAGGTAGAACTCGTCGCCCGTGTTCAGCTGTCGCTTGCACAGGATGCAGGCGAAACAGTGCAAGTGGTACACGTTGTCCTGTGCCCGGCGCACCACTTGCGTCGGCGGTATGCCCAGCTCGCAGCCAGCGCACTTGGTGCCGTACCGCCTGCGTCAGAGTTGGCCATTAAACAAGTGACAGCTGCACCGGGCATTTTATTATGTTTTACAGTGACACCGTTTCTACGTTAGGCGCACTCAACTGCTAGGCAACGGAACAATGACATTGAGTATTTATGCAATTAACTTTCTAAAGTGAACGGTCTAAACGATACACACTAAGTAGTCTGCTGAAAGAGTGTAGCTCCTAAACAAAATTTCTGGGAACATTTGGTAGGTGCAAGACGATGGAGTATAGCCCCATGAAGCGTTGTACTGTATTAAGCGCGACATCTGAAAAAAAATTTAGTGTAAGCGCCATAGCATGTTTTCTCAGAAGCTCACCAAGGTTTGACTATCTGGTACACATGTTCATAATTATTGAACCTTCGCTAGGTGTTCACTTCATCCATGTTCTGAAGTACAAGAATCTATTGAGGTCAGTGGAACATGAGAGCATACAAGGGTTTGCTGTCGTCAAAATAAAAAAAAAATTCGGCCGATGACACCACACGTACCGTGGTAATCGATGTTGTACGAAGCATGCGACTGGAGATTGGCTGTGGCGTAATGTTCTCACTTTCCGATACGTTACGAAAGGACGCTAAAGGTGTGTACGAAATTTATACATGCATATATATGCTGAAGTGGCGTATGTGTGCTACATAACAATTTGTTGGCAGCGGGGTAGCGATACCAACAGCAGCATTTGTATTACCAACACCAGAAGCGGTGAGCTGATATGTAGTCCGTTATGACGGAGTCCGTTACACCAAACCCTTGTGTATGTGTGGAAGGGGTTCTTGACAGCTTTTGAACAAGGTCATCATTACCGCGATGAGTGAGCCTCAACAGCCGAACATGAATTGTTATCGAGTCCGTTCGTGATCGTGGCGACAAGGGTCCATGTTATATTACAGCTATTGGAAATTGAAGATGCCTTGGTCATTTAGTCGACAGATTGCCTGTCGATAAAGCCGGTGACATCTTGGAACCTGAACTCACCCTTTCTTTCGGCGAGGTATAGCTCCACGAAACTGGTAGCCCTGGGTAGTGCTACTTAGACCAACATCAGTGGATGGCACCTATCGTATTTGTAGGCTACCTGGACTTACTTGGCCTAGGTAGTCTACTAAATACAAAGCGACTTTTCATTAATATGACGTTATTTTCGGTGAACATGAAACCATCAGCCAGTTTTGTAAGAAATTATGAGAACACAGCGTCGTTCTGGCGAATCGTGTGCATGGCATCAGTGAATTAGAATGCAGATAGCCCAAGTGCCAGCTGTTCGTGTATGCAATAACAGCTAATGTTACTACACAGCTGTTATATTCGGTGAGTGTTCGTGACATCGACTCTCACAATACGTGGGATCTGCCGGAATTTCCCATGTGTATGTACGCTGTTACCGAATCGATTGAGGCTGTAAATCACCTATGGCGCATATGCGCATAACATGAAGTATAGTACGCATGTTTGCGCTGCACATGATTGAGGGAAAGAGTTTTACGACGTACGCCACAGCCATTCCACGTTATTCATGTAATGAACAGTGAATAGTGCTCGTCATACGCTGATAAGTTGTTACGCAGAAGACTCGGGGGGGGGGGGGACTTAGACGTAGGCGGCTAGATAATTAGTTCGTTACGTAAGGTGGCAATGGCCTTACAGCCATTGCCACCTTACGCCTTAGGTTTGCTAACGAATGCTTCGCATTTAATGAATGCCACTACTGTGCGAAATTGGAGTGATGAGCGCAGGTCAGGAAGAACAGGAGAGCGAATTCGGTTTAGCATTTCATCAGAAACAGATAACGACAAGTTCACTCAGTGCCCTGCTTCATTAACTCTGATCTGAAATTATCAGAACATTGACCGACAAAAGCGAGGGTGGTTGCAAGCGCTTTTAGGCGCACATTTACTCACGAAGGGGTAGCGACGTGCTACAAATAAATAAACGTGATACTCTCTCTTATGTGATGAAGGCGCAATTATTTGTGCATCGAATCCACAAGTTCCACGTGCCTAGTGCCCCACAAAACAGCAATTACGGGGACAGTATTAATGTATATCGCTGCTCATGCATTTCACGCCACTGGAACACAGCGATGCCACACTTTTTCTAAATGCAGCCCACAGCGTATTGCAATTAAACGTACAATATTAGAAGCTTGGGTGAGTTAGTTTTGGTTGAAGAGACCCATCACACTTGCCCGAGCGCGCAAATGGGAAGGCGGCGCACCTCAAGTGCAAATCGAACGAGTATACTGCCACACCCGAATGTTATCGGGCGTGACACTCGCGAGTTGAGGTTCCCGCTGGATCGAGCCGGCACGCGCAGCTGTCGGATGGGCCATCGCGACGAGACGGCCCGCTGACGCGTGGCGCTGGGACGCGTCAAAGCGGGGCTCTGCACTAGCCGGAGCGCGCGCGATCACGCAGAGCAGGAAGCCAGACGTGTAAACGCGCCAGTCCCATAAACAGAAGAAGGGAGGATGGCGCGTACGCAGGCTGCGCTGGCCAAGCGACCGGCTGGGTCCCGCCGTGTTCGCCTTCTCGGCTGGCGGCCGCCCCCGCACCCAAACCGCAGCGTCGCTCTGGAGCCGGCGTTTCGACGCGCCAGATGGCGACGCCGGCGCCACGCTCCGTCGGGCGCGTGACCGCCTCGTCCATGGCCTCCCCGTCTTTTTTCACTCCATCTACTGCCGCTTTTCGTTTTCTCTTGCTTTTTCGGGCTCCTTTGGGGCGCTGTCCGTATATGCGTGTAGTATATGCGCATCCCATCCCATGGCACTTGCACGCACGCGACGCTGTTCGGAGGCGGCGCTGTGCGTGCGGTTATTTATAGCGGACGTAGCGAGGCGTCGCTGATCCGTTCTCCGGATTAGCGCGGCACATCATCGTTCTAATCTCCGCGGCGGAGACCGGCCTACCACCACCACCCGGCGCTTCAACACTACAGGGTTGGACGTGCGAGGAAGCCACGAAGGCGCCCATTAGCACCATTCCACGTAGAGCGAGGGGATAACAGGCGGATCGCACAAGAGCGCTTTGCTCGGTATTTATAGCCGTGTTTGGCAAGGACGTGCTATCATTGAAATAGCAATATCGCGCATAAGGAAAAAAAATTGTGCTTATGGTGATTGGTATTGTAACCAGTTCTACTCAAGTAGCTAAGAAAACACAAAGAAAAAAAAACATTAAAGGTGAAAAGGAAGGCCAATGCTTTTGGAAGGCAAAACACACCGAAATGGCAACACTTATTCCTCCATTCTCTATCCTACATTACGTAATATCCCGACTGATAGGTGATATTATTGGCCCGACCAACATGTTCCTACTCAGATTTGGGATTAGTTTCTGATACTCATATGGGAAAAAGCGACGTCCACGGCTATCTTCAGATCTTCTTTGTGAATGCTAGACGCCTTTGCTGGCTCTAAAATTATAAATTTAGGAAATGAAACAGAAGGGCTACCCCTTTACATAGCACAACAAGGCTGTCTAGCGCACTTTCACGCCATCATTTGAATTCACTTCGAAAAAAAAAACTTAAAGTAGTATCATGCAGAATGTGTAGCTTCAGATGGTGTACTGCTAAGACAGGCGACATGTGATACATACACAGGTCGGTGAACTCACTGATGAGTCGACTCACTCGTCCTCAATCAGACTCAGATCGAGCCGTGGGTCTGTGCCTGAGTGAGTCGGGGTGAGGAATATTTTCGCGAGTCTGAGTCAGTCCGAACCAGTCCGGTAGAAGAAAATTTTTGCGAGTGTGAGTCCGAGTTAGTTCGGCTCAGGAAAACTTTAGTGAGTCAGAGTGAGTCCAAAGCGCAATATATATTTCTTGAGCGAGTCTGAGTGAGTTCCACTTTGTTTTGCCGAACTAAGGTCATATGTAGCCATTTTCAACATTACTATCAGCCTTACCTGGATTCGCGTTTATACTCATGTCCATTTACAGGTATTCGAAAGCGGAGCTGTTCATACACCATTTGAATATTTATTGATTAGAGGCGTGATTTAAGTAGGAGGTTGCTATTACCCCCTCTCTCCCAAACTCTTCCAGAGAAGTTATGGATAATTATAAGTTATGCCATCAACTTTTTCAAAAAATGACCTTACTGGTTTACCAGCACTCGGAACTCGTTTTCGACGATGCTAAGTCATACGGCACGAAAAATAGCACCGATTACGTGGGACATTGGGGTTAAAGAGCATTGCCACCATCATAGAAAAGGCTACTTCTAGGCTCAGTTCTAGACTAACTTCGACTCAATCCGACTCAGATCGATCCGTGAGTCTGAGTCTGAGTGACTCCGGGTGAGTACTGTTTTGGCGAGTTTGAGTCCGAGTGGGTCTGGTTGAGAAAAATTTTCGAGCGCCTGAATCCGAGTGAGCGTATCCAAAGCTTGAAATATATTTCAAAATATATTTCATAAGTGAGTCAGAGTGAACTCCTCAAGTTTTGCTGAACTTATGGATACATCTAATGCGAAAAACATAGAACACACATAGAGGAAATGTCAGGACGAGAGAGATTGAATTCCTTTTCGTGTGCTGTATTGCTTACGCGCTGGTTAATAGCGTGACAGCCATTACAGACACGTAAAGCAAAGATGTTGTACTAACCCGAATCTGACGGGACATCCTATCACCTTATGATGGTTCAAAGGGAAGCTACTAGCATTCATTCGCCCACACACATGTCATCCTAAAGTGAAACAAGCTGAGCGAAATAAGAATAGATAAACAATATATATATATATATATATATATATATATATATATATATATATATAATAAAAGCCATGGTACGATGAAAGATGTTCACCTTCTCCGCAATGTCAAGTTAGGAGAACAGTGACGGCTCAAATTCTCCATCGTAGCGCGTGGGCCGTAAACTAACGCTTCGGCAACGTCTCCGACAAGCAGACTCACTAAAAAAAAATCATAATCAAGATGCGCAGAAAGGCAGAACGCCATGCGAGACGCCCACGTAGGCTTTAGCAAAACGCCCAGAGAAACAAAGAGTGAGAGTGAGCGAAAATGGAAAGTGTGAGAAAATAGGAAATATATAAAGGAAAGGAAGATGGTGGCGCCTCCTTTTCGACGGAACCGAAACGAAAAATAGAAAAAAAAAGGTCCGCGCTGCAGCCGGGTGCGAAGAAAAGAAATGGACGCTATGAATAATACCCCACTCCCTTCTTGCTTCGAGGCTTTCCTTATTGGTTTCTTGTTCTGTAGCTTATTCGCTACTTGTATTATGTGGCGACCATTCGGGCCTTCGCAAGGATTCCCTTCCGTTTTGTCCCTTCCACTTGGGAACACGCGACTGCACGGTTGTTTCTATAACGTTTTCAGAACCTATAGTCGTGCAGGAAAGGCAAACAATTGCAAGGCGCAGACGGACGAATAGACACTATAAAAAATTAAGACAAACAAAAATAGAAAAAAAAAGAACGAGAGAGACAGGAAAAGAAGGCAGAAAGGGCGACGCCGAGAAAAACGGAAGAGTAATCATTTTAATGCATGCCGGATTCAGGGGATTCAGCAGCAGGGAAAAGGAGCGTGGTGCAGCGACCCCACCCCTCACTACGAACATTTCGCTCAGTTGGAGAAGAGGAGGGAGAGGGAGTGAGGAAAAAAAAAGAGAAAATGGCGGCAAGCGCTATCACCTTGCGTGCGACGTCGTAGTGCCGCATGGAAGAAAAAGAAAGAAGTAAATGTGTTTGCAGGAAAATACCATTGCAAGACAAAAAGAAATGTGTACGTAGAAAGTCGTGTTCTAGTTACTTCCTTTGTTTCTCTCTCTCTCTTTCTATCTATATATTTGTATTCTCGTTTGGCACTCTCGTGCCGACTACAGTGGCATTCACTGCTTAGCAATACCTTGTCATTTAGAGAATTTTGCGATGGCTTTCAATGAAAGAAAATGAATAATATTACCGTTGTTATTAATGATCGCTCACACAGTGCGCCCAACAACAGCGCTTAAAGTCAGCGTCAAATTACAACCACCGGCTGACAGCTTGTACTGCATACACGCAACGGTGCGCATCGGCCAGGTTGCCACAAACGAGCCACTTCACTAAAGCGCGTACCGGTGAAATCCATGCCAAAGACAAAGCCACAACTGCTCAGACTGAGTTAGACACGAAAAGCGTGCATCATTCTAGAGCTCGTATTGTAGCGCCACCGGCCGCTAGACGCCGACAGCTGACGCGCCAACCAACGCCCGCCAAACATGGGAGAAGATATATCGTGCTTTAAGAAGGTTCTAACAACTTCTGAGGAAGTTATCTTTATCGGAAGATCTTGAACCCAGGCGAAAGCCAATATAAGCAGGCGGAGGCGAGCGGAAGGTGCATTGAGACAGCTGTGGGGGGCGGGGGGTTGTAGTTATGTGACCAACCCGAATGCAGAGGGAGGGAATTGTGCCCCACAAGTCCACAAGTGTTGTCGAGAGCCACTTCAAAATAACGCCATGGACTTCTGACCAGTTCTGACAATCCCTACTGAATATGAAAGGAGATTTCGAGTTATTCTAACGTAGTCTAACGCATGCACTTTTACTTTAGCGCTGGTCTGTTCTAGTGCACCAAAGTTTTTTCTAGTGCACAATCTAGTGCACGTTCCAGAAGTGCGACAACTGCATAGGGCACACAGTGTATTATTCATAATACACTGTGTGTATTATGACCAACTTCTATAAGGATTAAAGGAAGATTTGATTGATATGTGGGGTTTAACGTCCCAAAACCACTATATGATTATGAGAGACGCCGTAGTGGAGGGCTCCGGTAATTTAGACCACCTGGGGTTCTTTAACGTGCACCCAAATCTGAGCACACGGGCCTACAACATTTCCGCCTCCATCGGAAATGCAGCCGCCGCAGCCGGGATTCGAACCCGCGCCCTGCGGATCAGCAGCCGAGTACCTTAGCCACTAGACCACCGCGGCGGGGCAAGGATTAAAGGAAGATTTTAGGCAGAAACCTATATGAAGTTTATTACAAAGTAATCAGCCAAGTGTGGATGTATGGGAACATGTTTTACAGCCTCAAATGACAATACTCTTTTTTGTGTGTGTCAGCCTTGGGCTCTAAATCGGTCTTTATACCATAACCAGCATTAGATGGTGCACCAAATAACCTGCTTTTAATAGTCCGTGATTTCGTCAGGATTTCGAGAGACAGTCGGCGCTTGGTATCTGCCCGGTGACGGTGCCACGTTCCTGAATTGCGACAACTGCATAGTGCATACAGTGTATTATTCATGACCAACTTCTATAAGAATTAAAAAAGATTTTAGGCAGCCTGTAATGGTTTTACGAAAACAAAGCGGACTTATTTAGCTATTTTTGCAAGTGCTCAGTCGTACGTGATAGATAGTAAAGGATTATCGTTCCTTAAACTCCTCACGAAGAGTATATGGACTTGAGATTTCATGTAAACTTATAGTCCGTAGAGCGTCGATTAACAATCCGTGGAATATAAATAATCTGGAGATCCCACACATAACCATTAGATTGGGGGCTTCTGTTACGCAATTGTTCCTCGAAATACACGTTGTAGAAGAATACAAGCTGACATCGGACTATCATCGGTGCTTGGGGTCTACGCAAGTTTAAATGACCATCAATCTTTCTGTACCCCGTGTCTTGCATGAGCGCTTTTCAAAAAAAAAAAAAAGTTCGCACTGTCACTTACGAGCGGCAGTGATGACGCCCGTCTCAGTAGCATTGTAATAAGGGCTGCACCGCAAGCATGAAAGTGCTGGAAGAAAGGCAAAAAGAAGGCGAGAAATGAAAGGCAAAGAGGACAACACGAGCGCTTCGACTGCCTTTCATTCCTCGCCTTCTGTGTGCCTTTCTTTCAGCACTTTCGTACTTGCGCTGCAACCCTTATTACAGTGAAATGTAACCAACTAGCCCAAATGGCCGTTCGTTTCAGTAGCCCTTCTTTGAATATCTTGTGAGGCGAGGCATCGCTGTTGTTGGTACATCAGGAAAAGACTTTGCCGAAAAGCGTGTGATGGTTATTTCTTACTCGTTTGCTTCATCAAATAAAAAAAGTGCGCTTATCGTGGCTTTGTTTTGTTTACGCAAGGCATCGTTCCACAAAACATTGACGGATGCCAATACATTCGTGACAAGAAAGCAAACGAACGCACTTGAAGAAGTCATCCTTGCAGTAGACGTGCCCATTGCGGGCGAAGCACTTGTTGGCCAGCTGCGCCTGGCAGTCGGCGCACTTGAGGCAGCGCGCGTGCCACGACCGCTCCAGCACCTTGAGGATGAACCGGTCCAGGATGGGTTTCTCGCAGCCGGCGCACTTAGGGATGCTCGCTGCACGCATACACAAAGAAGGCAAGCGTTGAGTCTACACAAATTCTACGCTAGGAGGTCATTTATTATAGCAGAGAGAGATAGAGAGAGAAGCATTCTTAAAGAAAAGGTGGAGATGTTGCCTGGCTTTTCGTCTGGCATGCTGCTCCAGGCTCTGGGGAATAACTATGATATATACACTGATAAACACATAACACATACAGCCACACACATGTACGCTACACCTATACATGCACCTTAATACACCCAAATGAAAGGTCTCTTGCGGACTCATCCAGCACAACGCACTCAGGGATAACCTCAACGTAGAGCTTTCCCTCACAACAATCGCGCTCGTGGCAAAGTGCTATTGCCGTGCGCGTGTGGCTAGATGGTAGTAGTCGTACTTGTACATAATAGCTAGTAATAATTGCATTTTAATCAGTTACATGCTGTTAAAATCTTTGTCATCGAATTAATTTTTTCGCTTGGCAATCTGCACTGTAATACAATTGTTTTTATTACTGTAAAAGTATATGTAACCAACTACTTGAAGTCACTAGTTGCTGTAAGAGGCGACACACCGTTGAACACTCGAATAAGTTGAAAACCATAGTGCAGTACACCCGTAGTCACGTGACCAATATCATGAATTTTAATGAATGTCCTGACATTCAAATGTGGGTTCCCGCTGTGTGTTTTACCTCTTTAACGCTCCATGCTGCTGGATGATTTTAAGCGGGGCTGCTATGTAGTGATACCGGTGCTAGTCAGGGTTGCAGATTTGACTACTTTTTTGGCCTTGGTTTGGCAAATTGTCTACATTTGACTACTGTTCGTTCCCTTGAAAAAACCAAATTATCTGTAATGGTTGACGTCGCAGCCGCTGGCGTCATAGTATGCCATATAAGATCATGATCGTTAATCCGTGTTTTTAAAGATCTAAAAGTTGAATTTTAATGCACACACACAAACACAAAACACAACCCCCCCCCCACACACACACAGGCGCGAAGTTTTTGAATGCGTGACTCAGTCTCAAGAAAAACTGTTGTATGGGGTGTCCATTTAAAGACCACCTATTCCTTAACATATTTAAATCATAATTGGAAGAAGTCAACAGGACAATCGAAGGTACTCTGCATCCGCGGCTCTCTGTGCTCACCGACATCGGCAAATGTTCACCAGACGATGTATGTGTGTTATATCTTAGGGAGAGAAATACGCTTCAACAGAGGAATATTAACTACTCGGACTTCATCATCCTGAAATGTTTGCGAGAGCAGTGACAAGTTATACTTCATCCCAGTGACTCTTATTCTGTACTCGGTTACGTGTTACTCATTTTTAGTGTCGCCACGGGGCTGGCACTTCTAATTCTTTCAGGAAAAGTCAAGCAATACGCGGGAAGAATATCATTTTTCCAACAGCACAAGAAGCTTACTGAGCCTGCATGAGATGATTGCTTGAGTCCGCACTGTATCCTAATATCTGAGCAATGTGCCATGGAAGTTGTCACTTAAAAATGACCATTTTTCGCGAGGAAAATATCTTGTACTTGGTCATTTAAAGAGCCCGTAAACAACCCAGACAGAGATCTAAATTCAGTTGGGGTGGGGAAATTGTGCACGAGTGTATGACAAACACGGAGCCGTGAGAATTTTTCTAAATGGTACAGTAATAGCAGAGTTAGACGCGTTTGATTATCGAAACCACGACGATCACTGATTTCGCTCTATCCCGCGCATCCCTCAACTGGTATCCTATCCCAAGCCGCTTTGCCCTCTCGCCGAGCGCCCCTCCCTATCTCGCATGGAATACATCATCGCTGACGCGCTGCTTGAAACACCATCTACTTCCGGTTGCCGCGACTCCAGCCGTCAACTCCATCATTCGCATTGTTGCTGCGGGCTTTTTGACTAACCGTGACTGCCGTAATCGTGCTGGTATAGACCCTGCGTTGCGTGTACGTCTTCAAAGGATCGCCAACGCGATGGACCTGTACACAGACACGCCGTGCCAGACAACTCCCGCACGAGATGAGGCGCACGCACGCGGGCAACGCGACCAATAACAAGCAGCGCGGACAGCTGCTTGCAGATTGACCGGAAGTCGTAGGCTCCTCCTCGACCAATCACAGCATACTTGGCTCGGAGTGTCCGAGATGTGGAACGGCGCGTCAAGCGGTGGCCCGAAAGGCCCGGGAAGAAGGAGAAATAGTTTTTTTTTAATTTCTGGCGGGCTGACGGCTCGTAGCGCTTCCAAGTGTAGAATCGTAATTGCGATGGCATTCTCCACATGATGCGCGTGTTTACTTCAAATATATGAAAAAAATATCGGTGGTGGTCTGCGGGCTCTTTAAATAAAAACGTCGCAGCTGTTCTCACGCGCGCGAGGCTATATTTTTGGCTACTTTTACTAAGCTTGTCTTTATTTGGCTAATTTTTGGATAATTCTCTCAAATATCTGGTTATTTTTTTGTGTTTTTGACCTGGCAACCCTGATGCTAGTTTAGGTTTTCACTGGACCTGTGAACAGCACATTTGAGCTCCAGTAACAAATAATCGCTGTACTTCATAGAAAACACAGATGCAAACATCGCGCCGCCAAGTAGCCGCAATCCCACGTGCAAGGTGTCTATACAATACAGCCTAGCCATCCCCTCCGGCACCCAGATTGAGTAAGTTTTCGGTGTAGTTCTCGGACTCGTCGAACTTATCTGTTTAACATATTAACAAAGAAAAGGTCAGCGGCTATATTTTTTGCCCTTGTTTGACAGTATGGGGGTTAAGAAGAAGGTAATGCAGATAAAACACACTGGCTTTTTACTAATTGCTCATTCTCATTTTTGAGACTGAGATTGTAATAGGTCATCATCATCATCAACAGCAGCAGCAGCAGTAGCATATATATGTATACATGCAGTGCAGGGCAAAGGCCTCTGCCATGTTCCGCCAATCAAATCAGTGCTGTACTTGTTGCTGCCACGTTATACCCGCAAACTTTTTAATCTCATCCGACCACCTAACTTTCTGGCTCCCCCCCCAAGAGCGCTTGGCTTCTCTTGAATTCCAGTTAGTCACTGATAATGACCAGTGGCTATCTTGCCTACGCAATACATGACCTGTCAATTTCTGTTTTTGGCTGGTAATAGCAATTGGTAACTCTATTAATCACATTTTCAAATGACCTAACTTTAGCTGAAACAAATAAGGTGCTTCTGCAATATCTTGTAACATCTGCGATAAATTCTACTAGTGGTTCAAATAGCGTGGAGTGGGTAGGGGTTGGGGGCAGATGCTGTTGGAAGTGGCTATGTAGGAAGACAACTACTTTTTACGATAGTCAAATCAGCCCCCGCTCGTTACATCAAATGTCCCCACTCTCTCTTACTCATACGCACATGCAGAGAGAGAAAGAGAAAGACGAAGGAAAAATGAAAGTCGACATACAGACAGACAGACAGACAGACAGACAGACAAATAAATAAAACAAAAAAGTAGATAGATAGATAGATAGATAGATAGATAGATAGATAGATAGATAGATAGATAGATAGATAGATAGATAGATAGATAGATAGATAGATTCGCTATGCTGGTGAGTCGGGGCCAGTACGTGCTATATAGCAACAACTACCGGCTGTCTCAGCGCGACGCTTTCGATACAGTGACGAGAGCAAACAACTCTCTGGAATAACACTTTCTCACTTGTGCACTCGATAGAGAGAAAGAGAGAGAGACATAAAAGCAAAATGAGGCGGGTGCCAGCCAGAGCGTAACGGGACGAGTTGTCACCGCGAGACGGCCCTCGACCCCTTGACGGGACCCGCAAGGGGGGTGCACCAGTGATGACGGCCCATCTTGGCTAGACGACGCGACCGCAAGCGTAATCGGCGAGCCTTGATCCGGTTAGCGCGCGAGGCCCCGACTTCGTCGTCGTCGTCGTCGTCTCAGCATCAACGACTCGGCACTGGACGACAGCAACATAATCTTCTCTCCGCGGCTCGTTCTGGCGCGCAAGCTCAAGAGGCCGGAGCTGCACTGACGTGCCGAGTTGCCCGCCACCTTGTTAGCCCCTGGCCCGAACCACGAGAGGGCACCGCTCCGGGCGGCTTCTTTCCCCATCGTTTCTCCTTAATTAGATCAAGTCTGCCGCTCTGTGAGCATTGCCCAAAGGCCAAACACGCCGATCAGAGCCACACCAGCGCTGCTGGCGCCAACAAAGAGTTATTCAATGCTCAGTATAAAAAAAAAAAAAACGAGCAGAGTTTGTCTAGCGGTAGCCCTTGCTTCCACGCCCGGGATGTTGTCCGCCCTTGTATTCAACGGTGATGAAAATACCGACCTTACATCCCATTTTCATCGTGTCGCGCGTTTTTTTCTTCTTATTTTATGCTCCAAAGAAGACAATGTCAACAACGGCGTTTATCCAACGAATGAACGTGGTTTTTTTCCCCCTCTATCTGTCTTCTCTTCCCGCACTTCCCTTGTCGTCTCGCTTCGACAAAGAAATAGAATTCTCGGCCTTTTCGGGCTCCACCACCTGTCAACGAGCAGTGTCTTCTTGTTCGGGCATCACACTAACTGCTAACGTCAATATGCTCAACACTCGAGTCCTGACGGCGATGATCGAGAGACCACGTCATTGCAATTCTTTTTTACTTCATTTATTTGTGTTTTTTTTTTCGTCTCATAGAGGGTAGGTGCAACTGGTAGAATGGCGGATTTGACGTTCGAAATATTTACCCCCCCCCCCCCCCCCCAAAAAAAAAATCATATATTGAAGCAGGAGTAGATGGAAACAAATTTCCGATAAGATGTGGGAGGAGGGGACATGTATAGAGAGAGTGGCTGCTGGTGTGCATGCATTAGAACAGGGCCGTGAATGATCGTTCCGATTGAGGGGACACTTTTCGATGGCAAAGCGGGTGGAGAGAAGGGAACCCCGGAGGACAACCACCAGGCAAAGGGCAAGCCGCGCTTAGAAGGCGGTAATCACAAATTACGGGCAGGAAAAAAATAGAGGGGGTTGGGGTGGCGAATAGGAAGGGGCGAAGGCAGTTAGCGTAATTGAATAAGCAAACAAGCCTAAACTGAATTACGTCCCTCGGCGCAGGCCGCCGCTCATTTGCAGCCATCCGCGCCGGTTTTTACATCACTGCCCTACGACGAGTGCGGGACCGAACACCCTCCGGTGTAACGCGGACCGCGTGGCTGGAAAAGAACATGCATGGGGCGGGAATAAAGGGAGGCGAGAGGAAAAGAGCGGGAAAAAGCATCGGGGAGCAAAGTGCGCGCAAAGTCGCAAAGTGGATGCACAGATCCTAGATGCGTGACGCTTCGAAACACCGCTTCATATAGTTTTCGCGTGGCGAGAAATAAAAAAAAAGATAAGAAAGAGTAACAGTGGCGGCAGCCACACTCTCTGAAAACAAATAGACCAAGTCGGCAGTTGCAGCCAAATTTAGAATCCTACAAATTTATTCGCGAGAGTGAGCCTTCATATAACGATGCGATGTATAAAGACGCTCATGATGCACCCGCGGTCGTTTTGCCAGTTTCACACATATCAAATCTGGTATTACGTGACGTGAATAGGTACCGAAATTATATGACCGGTGAAAACGTGACAATCATCATATGCGTGTAATGTAGAAACATGACTACATGCCACGCTCATGATGCGGCCCCGCTGCGGTGGTCTAGTGGCTAAGGTACTCGGCTGCTGACCCGGAGGACGCGGGTTCGAATCCCGGCTGCGGCGGCTGCATTTCCGATGGAGGCGGAAATGTTGTAGGCCCGTGTGCTCAGATTTGGGTGCACGTTAAAGAACCCCAGGTGGTCAACATTTCCGGAGCCCTCCACTACGGCGTCTCTCATAATCATATGGTGGTTTTGGGACGTTAAACCCCACAAATCAATCAATCAATCGCTCATGATGCGCTCGTGGTGGGGTCGCTGGCTTCATATATACCAAATTGGTATTACGTGGCGTGAATGGATGACGGAGGTATATGACTGGTCCAAATATGATTAACACGGCATGCGTGTGATGTACGAAGATGGCTACATGCCACGCTCATGATGAGCTCGATCGCGGTCGTTTCGGTAGCTTCACATATACCAAATTCGGTTACACGCGACGTCAAGGGATGGCGAAGGTATATGACTGGAGCAAACATGATAATCATGATATGCGTGTCATGTCAAAACATTACAGCTTACCACTCTCATGATGTGCTTGGGGCCGTTTCGCTAGCTTCACGTATAAACAATTTGATATTACGCGACTTGAATAGACGGCGTCGAAACATGATAATCATGACATGCGTGTCATTTATTATCGCAACTACATGCTACGCTCATAGGGCGTTCGAGGCCGTTTCGCTAGCTCCACATCTACCAAATTTGGTATCACGTGGCGTGAATAGACTACAAAAATGAACGACGCGTGCAAACATATTAATCATGACATGGAAGTCATCTACGGCGTAATTTACGTCCGCCTCGTAACTTTATGCTGATTTTAAAGTGACATATCAACGTTCCCCATTCGTGCTTAGCATATCATCGATTCCCAGTGTACGTGGGATCTGCCAATATTTTTTTTACCACAACGAAAGCGTAGCTGAAACGTTATCAATTATTCTGTTCCAGAGTGAAACTGAAACTTTCGCAATCGTTTTTCGGTTCACGTGGAAACTTGGCAATTCAAAATAACCCAGTTCATGCAACGAGAGCAGCAATGCATATCTTAGAGCGCAGTATTAGCGCCTATCTCAGGTGGGACTTCCAAAGTACACATGTGTTGCAATTTGCGAAAAAGAAAAAGGGTCACCACCACGAATTTTTGTACTAACTAAAGGGCAATTTCTTGTGGCGGTGGCACATGCCAGCATGGAGAGGCAATTCTTGGCGTGAAAGTTTGTTTTATATCAACAGCGGTCTCGCATATGAGAGATACTTCGCTCGATGACGGCTGCTTCAGAGATCATGATTTATTGATATGGGGGGGTTTAACTTCCCAAAACCATCATATGATAATGAGAGACGCCGTAGTGGGCGGCTCCGGAAATTTCGATCACCTGGGGTTCTTTAACGTGCACCCGAATCTGAGTACACGGGCCTACAGCATTTTCGCCTCCTTAGAAAATGCAGCCACCGCAGCCGAGTACCTCAGCCACTTGACCACCGTGGCGGGGCTAAAGAAGGAAAAAATTAAGAGCCTGAAATCTGTGGCACAGACCCACGCTGGTGGATTGGCCAAAAACCGGGTAGTTCTGACGAGATACTGTTAATTTATTAGCTCACATCATTTACACTATTAAGATAAATCAAGGTAAATTAACTATGAGAAATTGACAAAGAGATAACGGATATAGAAAATGAAGCAGATAATTTCAACGACAACAATAAATAAATGAATGAAGAAAGCTTTTTGGAAAAAAATAACTTAGGAGTAATATTAAGTTCTACAGTCCGAATCTCTTTGAAGCTTTACTAAACTCCTGCAAGGCATCAGCAACTTTCCCGTCCCTGAGTCCCTGAGACAAAGCCTCCAAAGAAAGTACATTTGGAGTAATTAACTCAAATCCCACGAGACTGCATCTAATATAATTTTGTGCAATGCGTTATTTCTTTTAGAAAATATCAGATAGTGATACGTTGTCTCGGGAACTCCACAAAACCAACAATTAGGAGAAGCCTTCAGACCAGCTCTGTGTAAATAAAAATTAAGGTAATGAGTTTGACACTGCAGCCTAGTGATTGCGACTTCAACTGCACGCGTTGGACATATTTTACTATTCTAACGATCATTTAGGTGTTGAAATCATGATGTGTTTATTATAGACGGCAAAGAAAATTTTTCTAGCATCATTTTCCTCCTAAGTCTAGCCCCTATAATGAATGTAGATGCTGGTAATATGTGAATAATTGTGCCATTTAACGATGACTTACCTAACGCATCCGCAACTTTATTGAGAAAGAGTCTCTTATGCCGTGATACCCAAACCGATTTAACCGGCTGTATATACAGATGAAGTAATGATTTGAAAGTACTCAGTAAGTGGGTGTTCTCATTTGCAGTGAGAGAAGAACTCACTGCCAGCGAATCAGTTGAGATAGTGGCCGAATGAGTTCATGCTGTTCATTTGCGTAGAGTTAAAATTATCGCCAAAACTTCTGCTACAAAAACAGGTACAACATCTGGAATAGGTAGAGAAAATGATCAATCTAGATTAAGAGTAAATATCCCAATTCCACAATTTTCTTCCTTTTGCGAAGCATCTGTCGCAATGACTGTCTTTATTTGTGAATGAAGCAGATATTAACTCAGAATAGAATTTAAAATGCGGTTAAAGCAATAGTATTGCTTGTTTTGGAAAAATTTCGAAAAATTGTATTTTGGTAGAGCTGCTGCTATCACTGATCGGAGATACGGCACTCATGTCGACACTTGATATGTCGGGTTTAAGGTCCCAAAACCACCATATGATTATGAGAGACGCCGTAGTGGAGGGCTCCGGAAATTTCGACCACCTGGGATTCCTTAACGTGCACCTAAATCTGAGCACACGGGCCTACAACATTTCCGCCTCCATCGAAAATGCAGCCACCGCAGCCGGGATTCAAACCCGCGACTTGCGGGTCAGCAGCCGAGTACCTTAGCCACTAGACCACCACGGCGGGGCACATGTCGACACTTAAGTTGTCAAAAAATCTCTGTATGTGAAGAACTTGATGCGTGTGAAATCTCGGCCAGTGTGCTCCGAAGAGCAACTCGGGCTTGGAGAACAAAAAACTGTTTTGAAATGCCTTACTGAGGATTCGCAAAGCTTTAAAAATGATGGTACCGCCAACTATTTGAAACGCAAATTAAGTGATGGGAGTCTAGCTTCGAGATACAAGATTTTAATGGATACAAATTTAGGAATTAAGACCTAAGCACAGACGCATGGCTTGCCTCTCAAGCATTACAAGATGACGAAGCTTATATGCAAGAGCACCAGCGTATAATATGCATCCAAATTCAAGGACCGCCCGAACGTACATGCAATATATTGACAAAAGTGTTTGTTCTCACATGTCAAATCGACAATAACGGACCTTGCGTAACAAACCGA